AAAGGAGAGAGTGGAAGACCGAGGAAACTACAGGTCAGTCTGCCTTCTGAGCCAAGCAAGATCATGGAGCACATTCTCCTGAAAATTTTTCTAAGACACATGGAAAACAAAGAGGTGATTTGCTTTATTAAGGGCAAATCATGCCTGATAAATGTGATGACCTTCTATACTGGAGCTACAGCACTGGGGGATGGGGCAGAGCAGCTGGCATTTTCTGCCTGGACTTGTGCAAAACCTTTGACACTGTCACACATAACATCCTTGTCCCTAAATTGGAGAGACACAGAGTTRATGGATAKTGGGAAGGAATTCTTCCCTGTGAGGGTGGGGAGRCCCTGGCACAGGGTGCCCAGAGMAGCTGTGGCTGCCCCTGGATCCCTGGCAGTGCCCAAGGCCAGGCTGGACATTGGGGCTGGGAGCAGCCTGGGAYAGTGGGAGGTGTCYCTGCCATGGCAGRGGTGGCAYTGGATGGGTTTTAAGTTCCCTTCTACCCCAAACCATTCTGGGATTCTGTGAACTGACACACATTAGTTACCTCCAACTCCCTTTTCACAGATTCAGACTGCCTACACTATAGCTAACATTCCATGTAAGCCCAACTGGTGTATCAGCTTCCCYTTCCTTATGCAAACCCATTATGGGATTAGTTCAACAGTTACACACCAAAGAATTAAATATTTTGTCTTCTTGCACAAACCATACATCATACTTTTCAAGTGAACAGCCCAGTATTTAAGTCCCTTTAGTCCGTCTAGTTTGACAGTATTTAACACACGGAGGGTGATCACAAAAAGGATGGAGTGATCAATTTCCCAGATTTTGGTTCTCTCTGGTTTCCTACATGATTATGTCTCACAAGCCATCATTAGGAGCTCAGGCTGACATCTCAGCTATCTGCAGAAAAGCAGCTGCATGGAAATTAAAWTGCCAACAGGACAAAAACATGACTGTCATGGACCACTTTGCTGATGGATAAAAGCTTTAGCATTCCGGGGTGTATTCCATAAACAGAATGCACGGATCCCTGTGTGCCATTCCCATACCTGCTGCTGCCTCCAGCCCTGGGGATTGGTAAATCCCTTTCAGGCAAACACAGTGAGAGCTCCCAAACTTTTCACATAAAGCTGAAAAGCACAGAAAAGCCCAGAAGGATGCAAACCTYGGCAGGATCCTTTTTGCTTCTCCTTTCACACCTACGCTATCTCAAAACCCAAATCCTGATTGCCAGTGGTCCACCTCAACCCTCAGATCACAAGTGCTGTAGATTCACCTGCTGAGCACCTGCCAGACCAGGCTGGATCTAAACTTCTGTTTTAAACTCAACGGAGAGAAAATAAAAGGTTTGGGCAATGTGTCACAGCTTCCTGCATGCTCACCCTGCCCTTCCCCAGGGCCTTGCTGTACCTGCAGCCCAGGAATGAGACCTATCTTATAATCAAGGACATTTTCCACTCTTTTTGCTGAAGCCGTGCCACTGTGAAAGGAGCTTGAGATTTGCTGAGTTCAAGAGGAAATGAGAGCCTTGAGATCTGCCATAGTTTATTGAAAGCACACAGAGAGTCCTAGCAAGCAGCGACCAGAACACCCTGGCCCTGCTCGATGGCAGAACCCAAATCATCAGGCCAGGAACTCACTCAGGCAAAGGCTTGGGCTGTCAATCCTCAGCAATGCCAAAACCCCTCAGAACAGTGAGCAGGGGACACCCACATTCATTGTGTCCTTCATTCTCTGCAGATGCCATCTGRGGGACTGTGCACCAACTCACCCACAGTGAAACTGATTCTGATTTTCCAGGGATTTCAGGCTCTGGATGTCATGGGAACAGACAGAAAAGGGATCTCTAAACCAAGACTGAAGCCTCCATCACCCTCCTTGCATCGTCTCCTTACAGCCACTGTACACCCATTCCTTTACTTGTACACATTTAGTGATCTCCGATATTTAGGAATATCCAGGAGAAAAAAGTGCTCTAAAAAGGCTAAATCTAAATAATACACATTTATCTTGAGAACCTATAGTATAATTTACAGCAGAAAAAAAAAATATGGCATCAGTCCTGTGGAAAAAAAAATACTTTCCTGAAGTAATTTAGATATACAATCTTAACAGGAGTCAAAACCTGGTAGCAAAGGCTCAGGTTGTGTCTGCTCCTTACAGCCTGCACAGGAACTGCTGCCAAACCCATCAGCCAGAGCCACRGAAAGCCAGGAGCAACACTGACTGAAGCACTATGAGCCAAATTACAGTCTCACTCATCCTATTGTGAATTTCCAATTTTCCCCTCCATTTACTCCAAAATTTGTTCATAAAGAAGAATTATTTAYCCCATGAGCACCACTAAATAAAGTTGAAAACACTAGATCTCTCTTTTCCAATTACTGCAGGAGAGCCTCATTCCAGATGCTGAGTAGCTAAGAAATGTCAAACACAACACCTGGTTACTGAGAGCTGCTGCTGTTTCCTCAGCAGCTACACAACACATCATTTCTTCTCTTTAAATAGTTTATGCCAAGAGCAAGACCACAGCCTAACCAGTAAAACCACTCAGGATAAAAACCAAACTGCATTTAGGTGAGGCTGTTTGTTCCCTGCTTTGGTTTCCCACCGGCTCCGCAGCAAGAGGGGCTGCAGGGACATACAGGGACTCCCTGAACATACAGAACATTTTTACAGCTTTTTGCAGGTTTTTCAGCAGTACCCACACATTCCCTGGTGCACACTTGGGCTCTTGCCTGTGCAAGCCCTGAATGAGGACACGCTGCAGGCAGCAGCAGAGCCCCAAGGCAAATGGGGACACTGGATTCCATTTCTCCTTCCTTTACACACAGAGCTGTCCCAACACACTGGGCCTAGCAAACAAAAAAGACAACACCCAACATTTTTGGAGTGGAGAGTAACTTCAGGAACATGCCAAGAACAATACAGCACCACTAATATTGTTTTAACTCATCTCGGAAGTTCCTTGTGGGAGCAACTGTTTTCAGAACCAACAATTTTTAAAGSGTTGATAACATTCACAGTATGACTTTATTGGAAAGGGTTTGCAAAACAAATTTTAGGTGCTTAGCACCACATTTTCACTTTTCTCCCTGACAGCAAGGAGTCTGGAAGGAATAATGTTTTGTTTTTTTTTTTTATAATAATGAAGTGACCTTTCTGGCAAAAGAAGCAATTTCCACAGCCCTGCTGTTCTGACTGGCTCTGTGCACTGACCCCAACCTGGCCACACAAATAAGACCAGACTTCCAAAATCCTGGAATGTCAGACTTAAATGCAAGCTGTGCTGATCCTCAGTCCTGCAACACCTATGAACCAAGGAATAAAATATAACTATAGTCAAGCTAGAGACATAATTTCTATAAATGTAGTTTATATCTCTTAACTAGCCCCCCAGCTACCTAATCCAATGCAAAACATAATTCTATCAACGAGTTGGCAAACAAGCTGAAGCACAGCAACTTCGAGGTTCTTAAAATAAAAATTTCCAGTTAAGTAATTTCAAAAGCAGTATTTTTATATACTTCTAATTTCCAACTATTCCCCCAGTAGAAAGGGTCATTCCACTTACATCCTGCTTTCCCATCAGCTCTTTCTCCAACTGGGATCCTTCAAGACTGTTTCATCCTCAAGTGTGSTTCCAGAACTGGGAACAACTTAATAAACATAAAGTCTTTGAMTGCTTAATAAAAGAATGCCATGTCTCTAGGCAGGTTTAGAGAACAAGTCAATGAAAGGCAAACCTTGTCTGGGTCAGCAGTAAAATCTTAGTTCTATTGGTAAATATGGCTATGAAAGTAAATAAGGAATTTATACTCAACCRGCTCATCTGGTCACTCCTCAGGTCAACCAAAAATATAAGTTGCAAGTTATGAATCACTTTGAATGAAAGGAAAATGGGAGAGATGCACTTAAAAAGTACAAGAACACATTAAAAACACACACAGAAATAAAAACTCTGAAGTAAATCCAAGAACTGGACAGGATATTCTTAATCACTGCACAGTTATAAAACACATCAACAACYATTTCAGATACCAAATACACTCATGGTGGATACACCATGAGCACTGGTGGATAAAAATCAGCCYTTGAGAATAGGAAGGGTGATCCTTTGTAGTATTGGGTACCCTRGGGGAACATGTGTCCTGTAATATAAAAACCAAAAGTACAGATCTTCAGCCAGCCAGCCAGCCTCCTGTGATACCAGTATMGCATGGAAACAATCAGAAATCCGATTTTTAGCAAAGAGGAAGGTCAACAGCCTCCAAAAGGCTTCTGCTTCTTGATGGCACACAGCAGACACAAGTCAGGCAACATTCCCATGCAGCTGGGGCAGTGACAGTGACAGTGACAGTGACAGTGACAATGACAATGACAGTGACAGTGACAGTGACAGCAGTGTCCAGTCCCTGAGGGCACAAGCAGAGCACACCTGCCTTAAGCTCAGGGGGGACCCCCACCCACACCCCCTGTCCAGGAGCCCCATTTGCACCTGCACTGAGTCCCTGTCCTTCCCCGAGCAATGCTGTAGCTGTACCTGCCTCTGCTCCTTGCCCAGGCTGCTAGATGGGCCATGGACACTGTACCCTTCCCACCAGCCCTGTCCCAGCCCTGTGTGCCACTGTTCTCGACAGGACTCCTTAGACGGCCCCAGACCTTCTTCATGACCACTCCTTGCATGGGCTGGTACCGGAGCCTGTCTGCAGCACCCAGCTTTGCCACCCTGTTCAGACCTCAGGCACGGCTGGTGCCACCGCCCCTCTGGTGCCACCGTCATTTCTGGTGACATGTCCCTGCTGGTGGAGGAGCCCTGCTCGTGCTGCTCCCCARCCAAGGAGAGACCAAATCACTGCTTTGGGCTGCTCAGCATTTGAACCAGTTTAAAACACTTACTCACCTCTATCACAGACAACTTAAAACCCACACACCAACACCATAAAGTCACCTCATCCCCAGAGGTGAGCAAACCCGAGCGAACAGAAGGGTGATGGGCTTAAAGCATATTGGGTTTCTAATTTAGCGCAAGCACTTAGTTGTTCACAAGCCTTGCTTGTCAAACTGGATTGGGCGATGCTCTCGTGCTAAAGAGGAACCAGAGAGAAATTAGTTAAGAAATTAGACACAAACTCGGGGCGCAGGCTTGGCAGACAAGCGGAGCAGGGTGGCACCTGCCCGCTTTGCCTGAACGCCTTTTCCTGACAGACAAAGGCGCGGGCGGCTCCGCTGCGGGGCTAGCCCGGCTCTCCTCGGAGCAGCAGCGAAGCAGCGGCGGCTCCGCCCCGCCCGTCCCGTCCGTCCCGCCCCGCCGCTGGCCGGGGCCGATCGCTCGGGATGCTCGGGCAGCGCCGCGGGACGGGCGGGCGCGATGGAGCCGCCTGAGGGCTGGGACCCCTACGGGCGGCCGGCCCGGCGCACGCAGTGGCTGGTGAGCGCCCTCGCCTACCACTACGGGCTGGACCGCGGCGTGGAGAACGAGATCGTGGTGCTGGCCACCGGCCTGGACCAGTACCTGCAGGAGATCTTCCACCACCTGGACTGCGCCGGGGCGGGCCGCATCCCCGGCGAGGATTTCCGCACGCTGTGCCAGGTGCTGGGGCTGGAGGAGGCGGCGGACGCCGAGGAGTGCGCGGGGCTGTGGGACGGGCTCTCGGCCGAGCTCACCTTCCGCCAGTTCCACGCGCGGCTCTGCGGCCACTTCAGCACCCGCGCGGGGCCGCGGCTGCCGCTGGGCCGGGAGAGCGAGCACATCGAGACCCAGATCCGCCTGCGCAGCCCCCGGCGCCGCCGCCGCGCACACCCCGCCGGCCCGGGGAACGCGGGCAGCGCCGAGCGCCGGCCCACGGGGCCCTGCTCCCGCGAGTGCTACGAGGAGATCGTGGCGCTGGAGCAGGCCGAGGACCGCATCGCCAAGCTGGAGGAGGAGAACGGCAGCCTGCGGGAGCTGGTGGAGGACATGCGGGCCGCCCTGCAGAGCAGCGACGCGCGGTGCCTGGCGCTGCAGGTGAGTGGCCTCTGCACCGCACCCCGGGGCCGCTCCGGTGGCCCGGGCTTGAGGGACGATGCTGCTCTCGGGAAGTCGGTGTTGATAACCCCTTCCACCTCCAGACTGAGACCGAGGTTGCTCATTCATCCTCGGCATTAACTTTTTAGCAAAGTTTAGTTGCACGGAGGCTTTAAGGAGAAATGTATCTCCATCCATGTGCCGTGCTATATGGGACAGGCTGATTAGCACTCTGTTAAAAGTGTAGGGGAGTTCAGCTTAACAAACCCAAGTGTACAAYGCTGCTGCTTGTTCTATTGCACGTGCAGTCAGGATGTGCTGAGACCATATACTGCATGTGCACCATTGCAGGGGTTTTCCTGAAGTAAAAGTAAGAACTTTTGGATTCTTACCWGCACAGCACATGCACTGCCTCCGTCATAAAAGCCTCAGAAAAATCAGAAGTTTGTATTTTTCAGAGCATGGTCACGAGAGCTCAGAGTTGGAGCCAGTTCTGCAGGCAAGCTGATGAATAGTCTCGGGCTCCTCTGCAGAGCCCCATTAATTCTGGGGCTGGTTTCTGCTGGTTCTGCTGTGCTGGCTCGAGTGAAGCACATACACACTTAACAGCAGTTAAATTGCTCTGGCATGAAATAGTGTGGAACAGGCAGAGCACTGAAGGATAGTGTTCACCAGTTGTTCTGGCAGGTCTGATCAGGTCTGCTTTGATACCAACACAGCACTCACAGAACTCTGCCCCACGTATGACACTTCCACTTGCTGTAGCTGCCTGTTCCTCTTCACAACATCCAGCCAGACAGATCAAACCCACTTTTGCCATTTTCATCTGAAAAGGGAAAGGAAATCAGAAGCCAACATGAGGTCACTGATCAGAGGYCCCAGGAAGAATCAAAAGGACGAAGAGGAGAGCTCCAGAACACCCTTGGCTGCTCTCTGCTCTCTTCTTCTGGACACATCTTAATTGGAAATATCTTTCTCAGCACATTACTTGGCTTCTGAGTACAGACCATAGTAATGACATTAAAGCTATGCAGAAACTTGTGCAATAACACAATAATTAGTAATTTGAAAATTAAATGTATAGCTAGGTATTAAAGTTCACTTTCCAGATATTGTTTCTTTGTATTTGGCAARGGTTAAGTAGGTTTAGTTGCTGATTGACTATATGTGATTTTAAAAAACCCCAACAAAACACATCCAGTCATTTTCAGTCCGAATTATAATCGCAGTTGCTTTTAAACACTTCAATTTCTCCCTGCTTTCTGCCCCTGAAAGGTGGGACTGCGGAAGAGCCACGCCAACCATAAAGAGGAGGGAAGCTGCTTCGTAGGGAGTAAGAGACCATTGACACAGAACCACTCGCAGAATGAGTCCCTCCAGAGTGTCCTGAAGGAAATGGAGCTCATCCGAAGCTCCAGGGATGGGCAGATTGAAGAAGCCATCAGGTTCAACCAGGAGCTGGAGCGGGAGCTGAAGAGCTCCCAGGAAGCTCTCGTCAGCCTGGGAGACTGCAATCGCAACCTGAAGAGGGAGCAGGCAGAGATGAGGAGGAAGGTGGAGGAGGCCAGACTAGCTGTCCTGAACAGCCTTGGCAAAGTGAAGGAGCTGGAAGTGAAAGCCAACAAGGTGCCACATCTGCAAATGTACATTCAGCAGCTGGAGKCACAACTGCAGCACTACAGGTAAGCTGGGGTGCATCAAAAAATGCCTGTAAATGACAATGTTGGAATACAAGTCAATTTGAGAATCACTGTTGTGGCTTGTAAAACATCTCCAGATATATCCYGTAAAATGTAGCCAGAGAGAAATCAGAAGCTGCTTAGCCATTTTCTTGGATTTCCTCTTACGGATCCTTATCCATGAGAGAGCTGAGAGCATCCAGTGGAAGGTAGGCCAAGGAAGGCTGCTGATCTACAGAGAGCTGAAGTTACTCCTCAAACACACAGCAACAGAACTCAACATGGTAATGCTTCAAGAAGGCTCCAAAACAAATTCCTGACTCTCCAGAAACCATTTCCAACACACTTATTTTTTTCACTGCATTTCCTGGTCATTAGGTCACATCCCAAGCCAGCTGTAATCAGATGGCTCACACTCCATTTCATAAAAGAATATCTTTAACAATATCTTTCCCCTAGGAATTGGGGAAAAGCACACAAGGCCAACTTCTGGCCAGTGATTTTGAACTTGCCATAACTTCACTGCTTCTTCACTGACAGGRTAGGTAATACTCCTAGTGAGAATGAGAAGACAGGAGCTGAAATGTTCCTAAACCCACAAAATAATATAGTGGGAGTCTCAAACAAAATATACATTCCCCAACTAAACCCCACTTTTGTAATAGCATGAATGAATCTTTCCAGAAGCCAGAAAGTTGGTCACAAATTTAATAGTTCACTGCTTTTGTTGCTTTTTATCTCAGATGRAACTTGGACTCGTGGATGGTTATTAAGTGTTAGGCATTCCTGCCCAAGTTTCAGATTGATGTATGGAATTAAATCTAGTTTATATTTTCACTGACCCGAAGMAAAGTCAGTATTTGTAGATAAATATATATATTGACTAATGTTACTAAATCTAGTATTTTAATAAATTGCATCTTCTGAAGTCCTTGTCTCTTCCTAAACTCACACTTCCTCTGCTTATAAGAAGAATTCATAGTGAGTTATTTGTGGCATCTTAGCTATTGTACTGTTTTATGGAGTGAGGAAATTCTAAAAATAACCATTTTATCCAGTGTCTTTCTGTAAGCATTGTGTATGTTGATACTTGTACGGTTGCAGAAGATCAAAGAAGATAAAAGCATTTATTTAAACATCTATAGAATTTAAAAACCACTGCGAGGGCACGTAGTGTTCGGGATGACTGTCAGGGGTCCTTGGATGAATGACACAACTCCTGCTGCTAAAAGGTGTCACACAAYTTGTCAGGTTTCTGCTGTTCTCCTTGACATGAGCACCAAAGATTTGAGATGAATTCTTGTCCTGTAGAATTGCTTTTCCCAAGTAGGATGAAGGATAAAAAGGATCACCTTCAAACAGGTCGAAGGCAATAAGGAATGTCCACTGCCYTGGAGAGCAGGAACTTGATGGGTTRCATCAAAACAAATAGTGCAAGTTTAAAAATGTAAATTACATGTTCCTTGTAAGATAACCATCATTTGGAGTACTTGTTTTTAAATTGCATGCTGTTTTAAAGTGAGTATAAAGCTCAGGAATGGTGCTGGACTGACCATTTGGGAGCTACACCCCTTTTTTAGCCCCATGGCACATTAGGCAGAGGCCCAGGCCAGCTCCYACATTCTGAGAGTCTCTSGTGGCTGTAAATCACCTCCACAGCTCTTGGTGTAAACATTTCAACTTAGAGATGCATAAAGATGATTGTGACTCGCATGCCTGTGGTCATGGAACATCATTATTCCACACATTGCCCAGTGTGGCACAGAGGTTCCCAGACTGGCAGGAAACTGTTAATGAGCAGTGCAGAGCTATGTTAGGGTGGTGAAGGGGTTCAGCAGCAGCGTGGCTGAATTCAAGGTGAATTTTCCACACAGCCTCAGCCATCCCAGCCTGTCCCAGTCCYTTTGCTTCCTCACTCTGGTGCTCAGGCAGCGCAGGCTTCTCCTGTGCTGGGAAGGAATCGCCTTCTCCTGGTGTGCAGGAGTCCAGATCCGTGGGTGTAGCTCAGGTGGGGTGGGGAAGAGATGAGGGGAGGTGAGGAAGGGACAGCTGGGAACCCACAGGATTCTGTCACTTGGCAAGTGTGTCACCTGTCCTGTTGGATGTCAGGCTGTGTTTCAGTGTCACCTGTCCTGTTGGTTGTTTCAGGCTGTGTTTCAGTTGGTGTCACCTGTCCTGTTGGATGTCAGGCTGTGTCTCAATGTCACCTGTCCTGTTGGTTGTTTCAGGCTGTGTTTCAGTTGGTGTCACGTGTGCTGTTGGATGTCAGGCTGTGTTTCAATGTCACCTATGCTGTTGGTTGTTTCAGGCTGTGTTTCAATGTCACCTGTCCTGTTGGTTGTTTCAGGCTGTGTCTCAATGTCACCTGTCCTGTTGGTTGTTTCAGGCTGTGTTTCAATGTCACGTGTCCTGTTGGTTGTTTCAGGCTGTGTTTCAGTGTCACCTGTCCTGTTGGTTGTTTCAGGCTGTGTTTCAATGTCACGTGTCCTGTTGGTTGTTTCAGGCTGTGTCTCAATGTCACCTGTCCTGTTGGTTGTTTCAGGCTGTGTTTCAATGTCACCTGTGCTGTTGGTTGTTTCAGGCTGTGTTTCAGTCACTGCTCCCCTGAGCAGTTTTCTCCTTTGCCGGGTGCCATACAGAGTCTGTGAGCAGGACCTGGATTTGGCAGGAACTGGTGCTTCCAGGKGGTGGTGGAGAGGAATGGGTGGGGGCTTGGGTGAGCTGCAGAAAGCATTTACAGCTGCAGAAATGTCTCCTGAGAATTGCTCTGAGCAGGCTTGGTGAGCCACAGGTTTCCCCCAGCTAAAGTCAGTTTTCTTCCACAGAGGATCATATTCAGGAATGAGTCCAATCTATGTACGTTACACACTGCTCCTCTTTCCAGTTTCATATTTATAAAGGAAATGATTTATTCTTTTAGGTCTAGATTTTAAAAGCTCCTTAAGTACCTAAACCCCCTCTCCTAGACCTTTATCTGATACCTTCTCACTGTCATTTAGATCTGGAATCACAGCCATGACCTTAATTTATAATCCCTGATGCAGGAAGCAGTGCAGTTTTCATTTATTCAAGGAAGTGCTTAAGGACCTGCAAGAGATTAAATGTTGTCCTAAATTGGAGCATGTAATTAAAATCACCTATTCCTCGTTTCATATTCCTGCAAGTTTGTATGGCTTAAACATGAGCTTTTTCTGAGTGCACAGGTTCCTGTGCCAGGGTTTGAAAAGTCCCTGTCACATCATTAGTTCCCTAAACCAACCTGATTGACCAAACAGTTCACAGTTCTTGTCTTCAGGTGCACATCCTGATCTTCCTGTCCTGATGAATGTGTCGGGTTTCTGTCCCCTTTCCTCCTCATGTGATGTCTGGATAATCTTTTAGCTTTTAGTTTTTAATCCCTGTCAAGTTAGCGAGTCAGCTCAGATACTTCAAAGGTAAACTTCAAGAAATTCCTTGCTGCAAAGCATGAGTTCAGTTCATTTCAGAGGAAGCAAATGTCACAAGAAATGACATATTTATCATTGGTATTATATAAAAAGTGTATAATTCCCAATGTCTGATTACAGGAGAGTTTAGGAAGTCAGACAAGTCCCATTTTTATGCAGTGMTGCCCAGGGAGCTTTTCCCAGAGGACAAATCATTAACCAATGTTCCCCAAATTCTCTTTTTTTTCTGCAGTAAGTTTTGCTCCAACATTAGGTATCCATGTATTCTAATATAGTCCTATGGTTTCTAAGTCCTGTTAATAAAAAATCCCAGGTATAAAAATGTTACTACAGTAAAAATGTCACATCTGCTGCTTCTTTTTATCCATTGAGCCATTTGCCCTGTCAGAAAAGGAAATTAGATTGGTTTGACATGAATTGTTCTTGCCAAATGTAAGTTGGCTCTGTTTTCTGTACTACATTGGAGGTGGCTTAGAAATTGATTACTTAATAAAGTATATATATTCTTTTTCACTTAAATAGCATTGGAGGCAATAGAGCAATTTAACAGCCATTTTTTTGATCCCCATGTAACAGATAAAAAGAAAGGTTATTTGGAATTGAAATACACTTCATAATACAGATGTTCACCGTGGGTTTATGTTGCTGTATTAGTCAGCAGCACAGTAATTACATAGGTCAGTGAAAGAGGTCATAAAATACCAAAAATGCTTCCCATATGCATGGTCTGTCTCCCAAATTACTTAATTATCCATCAGCATTTCTATGTGTTAATGAGTAGGAAGCCTTTTGGCATGGAATGCAGAGAGGCTTGCTCAGCCCTTCATRTTCTCCTGTAAATATGAAGATCGAGGCCTCTAGCCTCATTTCCTCCATTTATTTATTTAATCTGTGTCAATTTGTCCACAAAGTTATGCTCTAGGTGATCTTATACTGGAAGCAGTGCTGTTTTTCTACTCTTTCAGGAGCCAATGCCCTGATCTTTCCAGTAATTGCTCAGGTTATCGTTCATTCTGTAAAATATAACAAGATGGACCAAGCAGGTTCAAATCAATAATCCAGGAACAGGAGAGGAATAGGGAAATATTCCAGACTGATACAGGATCAGCTCCTTAAGTGAAGGAAGAGAAGCCCTAGGAAGGAAACACTAATGAACAAAAGATGTCTACACTAGGTTATTTCCAATCAGAATGGTAATCTTTTATATTTAGGCACCTTAGAACTGCTCTTCTATTTTTTTTTTTTTTTTAATAGACAATAAAGAAAATCTGGACAATTTCTGCTGTCATCAATGCCAGCTCCTTGCTGTTGAGAGATGAAGGGCATCTTGGCAATTTGTTCCACAAACTTGAGTGGAGGCTGTGGGTGTGCATGTGCTGGACAGAGCTGCAGGTGATGTGGACATCCTTGGGCAGCCACAGGGACTGGTGGCAGGCAGGGAACCAGAGGTTTCCAATCTCACAGACAGCAAAATGAAATGTTATTTTGCAGAGCCTCATCTGTAAAAGCACTCAGATTCTTCTGGGTGAACTGATGGCATTTTATTTTCTAACTTTG